AGCTGCGGTGGTGTGGAGGCAGTGGTGTGAGTCTTTATGGAAACACACTCCTGGTGGAGCCATCTCTGCTTTGGGGAGAACTTGAAACATCCTGAAGTGATGTTCATCCAGCCTTTGTGTCCGGTGCACAGTGAAGGGCCCCGGTCCTGACTACTGTGGCACAGACATGTGTTTAGAGTGGGAAAGATGGCCCCTGCCCACTACCACGTGGGTGTGTGCGAGGCAGTTTGAGTGTCTCTGACAAAGAATAAGATGTGAGACTGTTTAGTCTCCGCACAGGGTACCTTCAGGCTGCCTCCACACGACTAAGCCACATAGGGAGGTTCCCGGAGCACTTTGCTGAAATAGCTGGCAAATAGATCGGCAGAGACGCCGTGGACGTGCAGAGAGAGAGGCTGGGGAACTGACTCGATGCCGCGGGGCCTGTGGGCTGCTCCTCCGGCTGCCAGGCACACCTCGGTGTGGAGGCCACCGCGTGTCGCCTTGGTCCCTCCAGGAGTCATCTCACACCCTTCTTTTCATGGAGGGCAGCAATGTGTTCTGAAACTCGGCTTTATTTTATGTTCTGTGAAGTCAGGATGAACCGAGGTGAGGTATCGGGACACTCAATGGAAGAACGTGCTGCTCACGGGGTGAGGGTGAGCCCAGTGGTAGGGGGCGTTAGTGGGTGTGGCGCACACCGGCCAGGTCCTCCTCCCGTACCTTCCAGGAAGACATCGGCCGGGACTATGGCTAGAGGAAAGAGTGAGGCGAGGATGAGGCAGGTTTTTGACTGAATTAAACCTTTAATAAGCCATCAGACTCTTACTTCTCATAAGTCAGTCCCTAAATACTCTTCTTTATTGTGACCCAAGATGATAAAATGTGGATCAACTAACTTTCAATCAAAGTTGCCATAGATATGCAGATTATTTGTGTAACCACTTAGGATGATTCAAGTTAGGATCTAGCTTACAATTATACAGCATGTTCTCTTCTTCTTATATTTAGTCTAAGTTCAAGCACATTAGCTTCTGGAATTTTTCCTTTTAGCTCTTTTTTAAAATGGCTGTCATATTTCTAATTTCTAGAAAATTTGTGTCTGGAGACCAGTTTACTTGTATACCTCAAGGTTCCCATTGATTCACATTTTATGTACTTAAAAACTCCAAAAAATGCAACGGGTTTCAGGGACTTAAGTGGCACGTAAGTTTTCCCATCTCTTTCTTAAAGAAGTTCTTTTTGTCTTTGGTGTTTGCAAATCCAAGGGTGCTTTTAAAGCTCCGATTTGAAAGATTAAAAATTATTTTTGAGTCCTTTTGGGATAACTGATTTCTTTTATGGGTGATGATAGAATGAATTCCTTGAGTTTTTCTGAAATCAACAATTCTATTTGTTCACTGCTTTTTAAAGGGCCCCTGAGCCTGCCTTGTTGACTTGGGATATTGAGAAAAAAATTATTGTTAAACCCCACCACTGAGGTCTTTACCTGGTTTCTGTCGCTCCCCCTCTTCGTGGAGGAACGACACAGGACCCTGCGCTGTTCTTTCGTCTGCTCGGCCCTCCCCGGGTTTGCTGCTGGTTCTTCCCGGGTTGGCTACTGTCCCTTCCACCTCCGTGGAAGGGCAGTTCCCCCTGGCCGCTTTCCCCACTTCCGCAGGGGAGCGGCACACCTCCGGCCGGCTCTCTCGGGGGCTGCACAGGTGTTCCCCTTAGATGTTCCCCTTAGATGTTCCTGGTGCATGCCGTCTCTCTCCTCCTTTATAGTCCTCCTCTGCCAATCCCAACTCGGCTGCCCACACGCCGAGTACGCTGCTCTCCTCCAATCAGGAGCAAGTCCTACAGTTTATTGGTTGAACTGGAGGCAGCTGTGTAGAAGCTGTTTTCTTCTCTCCCAGCGCCATATTGTGGGAGAGCAGGTGCATAGAATAAGTCTTAATTCCAGTAACAGTCTAGTCCGAGCTGCTCCCCACAGTTTCCAAGGTAGTTTCTGAGGCTTTCCTGGATCAGTTTTTAAGTGTGACTTGACTTCACGGTTTCCTGTTCCTCTGTCCCCTCACTGCTGGATGGCCCTGCACAGCGTTTGTCACCCTCCAGTAAGCACAGCTCGTTTGTTTGTTTATGGCCTGTCTTCTCCACTAAGCAGTCAGCTCTCTGAAGGAATGGACTTTTATGTTTTGTATTTCCTGCTAAAGCCACCACATAAATACGCATCTGGATTTCTGATTTCTCAGTTTACTTTGTAAAAGGTATTTAGCCAAGAGGCTGGCATTGTGGTGTAGTGGATAAGGCCACTGCCTGCAATGCCAGCACCCCTTTGGGGTACTTGTTTGTTTTCCAGCTGCCCCGATTTCAATCCAGCTTCCTGCTAATGGCCTGGGAAAGCAGCGGAAGATGGCTCAAGTTCTTGGGCCGCTGCCCCCCACGTGTGAGATCCGGAGGAAGCTCCTGGCCCCTGGCTTTGGTCTAGCCCAACCCTGGCCATTGTGGCCATCGAGGGAGTAAACCAGTGGGTGAAAGATCTCTCTGTGTCTCTCCCTCTCTTTCTGTAAATCTTTCAAAATAAATAAATCTTTATAAAAAATAAAAGTATTTAGCAACTACTGATTCATTTTTAATAGTCATCTCGTTTAAAATTTGTATTCTAGTAAAGTATAATCTTCTAAAATACAAGCTATGTGACATCAGCCTCACTGTCATTTTAATTCTTACTCTGTGAAAGATGTGTGCCTGCATGGTCCCATCCCTCAAATCAGGAGTATATTCAGAAGTTTAATCCTTTGGGTGTAATTGCCAATCCACGTGTTACGCCCAGTCTGTCTCCATTTCTGGGCCCGTGATGACACCTGATGTTCAGAGTGATGTTAGGAACCTGAAATACCTCCTGTTTACAATAAATAAATAAAATTAAAATTTAAAAAGATTTCAAAAGTTGAGTTCTCTTTTAATGGTTGCCTGAATTTGGTCTGTATGATATCACTTGAACAGAATACTAATTCCCAAATGATTTTAAGTAAAGAGAAGCTCAATTTTCCTGTTCAAATGATTAATTTTTACTCTTCCCATTTAAACCAGGAGTCTAGGTGATTCTTTCTGAGTTCCGACTCTGCTTATTTTTTTTCTAGTTATATGTCTGCCTTCCATGAAGGTACTTTATACTTTTCCGATTAGTAAGCTAAAATTTCCCGGCCACCCCTGAATACTTGAATACTTGCCTGTGGAATTTCACTGGAATGTTCTGGAGCAGTGATGATGGAGTACACTGGTAGATGGATGGTCTTGTAGGCAAAGGAAAAATAGTGGTGGCTAATGGTTGTCTCACACAAACGTCTCAGTCGCTCTGTGAAGGGATTTTCAGGTACTCACAGCAGCTGGATGGGATGGGTAAGTATAATTGGCACCAGTTTATAGAAGTTTGTGACACTGCGGATAGAAGATTCAAGTCACTTCAGCCAGCCCTGAATTACACAACCAGAATGCAGTCAAGCTGAAGTTTGTACCCATCCTTTGGTCAGTAAAAGGAGCACACTTCAGCATTATCGCTTTCTGAGGGGCTGAGGGGTAGTGGTACACACTCAGGATGCAGACACGCTGCTTTAAAGCACGCCCTGAGACATCTGCCCTCCCGTGTCCATCGCAGCACAGTCTACAAGAGCCAAGCAGTGGAATCAGCCTCCATGCCCATCAACTGATGGACAGATGCAGGATCCAGGGAAGACAGTGTGACGAGTGCCACTCAGCCTTAGACAGGAATGACTCCGTCATCTGTGAACACGTGGGTGGTGGAACCCGAAGACACTGCGTTCCGTGAAATAAGCCAAGCACAGAAAAACAGCCACCATGTGATCTCACTCCCCTGTGGAGGCTAAAAAGTAGATCCCATGAAAGTTGAGAGCAGAATAAAGTAGAATAAAGGGGTTACCAGAGGCTGGGGAGAATAGGGAGGAGAGAGGGAAGCAGAAAGTTTGGTTAACGAGTACTGAAATACAGCTAACTGGGAGAAAGAAGTCCTGCTTTTCTGTGGCACAGTAGGGGACCATGGGTAATGATAATACATTGCATGTTTCCAAAACGCTAGATGCAAGGATGTTGTTTCCACCACCAAGAAACAGTGAATGTTTGAGAGAATGGTATACTAAAACTTACCTGGTTTTGAACATTACACAGTGTATACGTGCATCTGAACATCACATAGTATCCCATATGTAGGTACAGTTTTCATGTGTAAATTAGAAAAAAAATGTTTAAACCACTTTAAGTCTTTCAACAGAATGTAATGTAGAAAATGGTTAGTTTTTTTTTTTTTTTTTTTAAAAAAAAAGGCAAAAAGGAAACCCAGAGTTATGAAATCAATGATTGTCATACACAGTCCTTAAGTCTGGGGGCCCACTGGGAGGCAGTTGTGGTTATTCTAAACTTTCAGGGAGAAACCTCACAGAACTGAGTCCTGGATCTCGAAGGAGAGGGAGCTGCCTGCGGGGGCCCCTCCTGGTTCCACGATGCCATGGAGAGCCTGGCTTCAGGCCTTTGGGCAGGGGTTTGCCCCACAGGGTTGGTCTTGTGTGGGGCCTGGAGACGCTGGCTCTGGTTGTCTGGGACAAGATGGAGTGGACCCAGCGGGTGGCCCTGGAGTGAGCAGTGGCTGCTTGGGTGGACCCAGCAGCTGGGAGTGGTCAGGCTGACGGCCCACGTCCTTCTGGACCTAAAAGAAAGCCGTTTAACCAAGGACCATGCAGTAGACACATACCCAGCCTCAGCATCTCCAAGGACACTGAAGCTGGATTTGGCGCTAAGCGGTGAGAGCTTAGCTGTGACTGGCACAGTGGAAAGCTCACTGGCTGGTCCAGTCCACACATCACTGTGTACAGTGAGTATTTGGAGGACTTGAATAAAGAATAATGTGAAAATGATGAAAAACTGAAATAATGCCGTAATGTTTTAGATGGAAAAAATCATTGCTTTGTAATATGTATGGAAAAAAGTATTAGGAAAGTATTTAATATCTCTTTTATTCATTTTAGATAAGATGGGAAAAAAACATCACATTGGGGGAACCACCAGGATTCTTGCATTCTTGGTGGTGGTAAGTATCTTTTATTCTGTTTTTACTAGAATGATCATGTGTTCTAGTGGGCCTACTCTATGCCTGTTTATGACTTCATGCTTCCATTTTACTGTTTTTCATTTTCCACAGTTGTTTTCTGAAAGATAGGAGATAACAAATGAAACTCAAAACCAGCGTTCAGTGTTCTTTAACTTAAAGATAATGTTATTGAGTCAAGATGGAATTGGAACCAATATGTGGAATCCCCAACCCTTAAGTGTGATGTGGTGTCCGTTAGCTGGGCTGCCGTGACACAGTGCCGCCGAGGGGCTGGCCAAGCTGCAGGTGCTGACTGTCTCTCAGCCTGGGAGCTGGAGGCCCGTGGTGAAGGTCCCAACATGCCCAGTTTCTGGTGGGGGCTGTCTTCCTGGCTTGTGTGGAAGCAACCACCTTCTCGCAGTGTCCTACGTGGCTGGTGGGGAGGGAGAGGGAGAGAGCATGAGCTGTCTCTCCTCTTGGAAGAGCCCTGATCCCAGCCTGAGGCCCCCCTCCTCACAGCCTCATCTGCACCCCATCACCTCCTGCATGCTTCCCTCCGAACAGTTAGGGCTTCAGCACATGAATAGGGGGCAGGGATGTGGCTCCATCCTCGGCACATTTGTTTCCCATCTCCTGGTGATAAAAGAGGGTGGCCCTTGTTCCTGGCTCTCTGTGCCACAGCCAGCTCTGAGAGTGCCTTCTGCCGAATGGGTTGTCAAGCCCTCGTCGGGCCACACCCCTGTGCTGGCATGCGTAAACTTTGGTGTGCCGTTCCACTTTGCTCTTTGAACCCCTAGGTCTCCTCTTGGCAAGGCTGGGAGCGGGAGGTAATAATTTGATGGACACTTCTTGAATGGTCCAGTCCTGTCCAGAATTAGAGCCCCTCCTCAAACAGAAGACTCCATGCACAAGATGGGACTAAATGATAACTGAGCAGGCGGTGACAGAAGTCTTCCTCGCTCTCCTGGGCTGGACGTGGGTGTTTGTGAGAAGCCACCGCCCGTTACGGTGCCCAGCAGATATGTGATTACCCACAGGACTTCCTTTCCTGGAACACGTACCTTTCGCACCTCTGTATGTCTTCGTACATCTGTCTTCTGGTAGTAGTGTGTTTTGAAACTTGGCTCATTTACGTTGGGCATATTTCTCTATGCAAACCTTGTAAGGCTTATTTATTGCCTACCATTCACAAGTGCTTCCAGAGGGCCCTGGATGTGCCAGGCGCCGTGCCAGGTTCTGTGGACACATCAGGGAGTAAAACAGACACACCCCCTGCCTGCCTGCTGATGGCAGTTTCCTGGGAAAGACAAAGGTCCCAGGCAGAGAGAAAGCAGTGTTGATGGGGACACACAGAGACACCTGTGGGCAGGTGCCGGGCACATTCCATCTCGGGGAGCTGGCATCTGAGCCAAGGCCTAGGGGTTGTATAGGAGTTGGGTAGAGAGGTGTGGAGAGACAAGAGTGTCCTGCGTAGGTCACGGGCTGTGAAGGCCTTGCGACTGGAAGGCAGAGGCCGTGGCCTGTCTGCAGTGTAGGCAGAGCTTCAGCGGGCTGCGCCTGGAGGTGGTGAGGTGGGCGGGCTGGTTAGTACCCCGGGAGCTTGAGTTTACTCCTGAAGAACACAGTGCGGCTTGGGTCTCAAGCTGGAGAGGCAGGGTGTCAGCCCCCCTGCCTGTGGCTCCCCACGGTTCTGTGGCCCAGGAAGTCCAGGGCAGAGAAGCAGGTGGAAGGCTCTTGCTGGATGGGGAAGGAGTGGTCACTGGACAGGAGTCCTCAGTGGCAGAGCTGAGGGCTGGGAGTCTAGAGGCCAGAGGCGGCAGGATCTGGGGCGAGCCCCTGTCCAGGGGCTCTGAGGTTGAAACGTGTGTCTTCCCCTCCTAAATGGGGAGGGGCAGCTGGCTCTTTGGGGCCCAGGTTCAGAAGGGAGGAGGAACATGACTGGCGTCCACCATGGCCGTCTAGGATTGAGTGAAAAGGCTGCTGACGGTTCCCACCAAGTGTGCCTCGCCGAGTGCCAGGCCGGCAAGCCCGTGTGTCCCAGCTGGAGGAGTGGCTGGGAGTCGGGAGGCAGGAAGTGGAGGACACGGTCAGTTCTTTCAGAAGCTCCTCCCAGGGGAGCACTGTGGATTCATGTTTAGAGTGTGAGGAGGGGCGCCTCCAGGAGGCAGGGGGGTGGGTCTCAGCACAGGTGGTGAGAGGTGAGAGGTGAGGGAACCCCCTTTACCAGAGCAGAAACAGCGAGGCTGTAGGTCTCGTGGGAAGTGATGGTTCTTACTGGAAGGGTCTGGTTTAGTCTCCAGGTGTGTGTGCGTGAGGTCTGAGCGTGCAGAGTAGTGTCAGAAGATGTGTAGACGCCCGGAGCACTGACTGGGAGCACACAGAAGGATGAGGCAGCTTTGGAGCTTACAGGTTCACGGTAGCTCCTCATGCCCAGGTGTGTGACTTAGGTGTTCACAGGAGCCCCATTGTGGCCAGGTGTGTGACATACATGTTCACAGTAGCCCCAGTGTGTCCAAGTATGCGACTTACGTGTTCACAGGAGCCCCAGCGTGGCCAGGTGTGTGACTTACATGTTCATTGTAGCTCCAGCATGCCCAGTTATGTGACTTGCATGTTTACAGTAGCCCCAGTGTGGCCAGGAGTGTGACTTAGGTGTTCAAAGGAGCCCCAGCGTGGCCAGGTGTGTGACTTACATGTTCATTGTAGCTCCAGCATGCCCAGTTATATGACTTACATGTTTACAGTAGCCCCAGCATACCCAGGTGTGTGACTTCTGAGTCCGTGGTGGCCCTAGCCCTCCCAGATATGTGACTTACGTGTTCACAGTAGCCCCAGCATGCCCAGGTATGTGACTTAAGTGTTTAGGTGGCCCCAGCCTGCCCAGGTATGTGACTTTTCTGCAGCAGCAGTTCTTGGTCCACGTATGTGACTGGACAAGGTATGTGTTTTTTCATTTCTATTCAGAAGCATTTCCTGTCCGGTACCCTTTATACTCATTTCATAGCATCTTCTGCAAAAGAAAACACAAAAAACTCTCGCAGTGCCATGCTTATCTTTTCCTTGGTACGTTATTTAGTGCCATCTTTTTACTGTGTGTCCTGAAAGCCTGCCTTTCCAGTTCTGTGGTGGCTGGAGCTGCCCTGGGTCAGCTGTGGTTGTGGATTTCCCTGTTTGTCTCACAAACACAAGGCAGGAACAGGTGTGTGCTTTACATTCCAGGTTGTGGCTGTGTTTGGGGCACGCCATCACTGATCTGTTTTCCCATGGTTAAGACTGAGCTATAGTATGGTGTTAGGAAAGTGTGGTTTTTTTTTTTTTTTTCTGTTTTTTGTTTTTTTTTTTTTTTGCCAGGCAGAGTTAGACAGTGAGAGAGAGACAGGGAGAGAGTTATAGACAGTGAGAGAGAAAGGTCTTCCTTCTGTTGGTTCACTCCCGTAATGGCCACCACGGCTGGCGCTGCGCTGATCCGAAGGCAGGAGCTGGGTACTTCCTCCCAGTCTCCCATGCGGGTGCAGAGACCCAAGCACTTGGGCCATCCTCTGCTTCCCTCCTGGGCCACAGCAGAGAACTGGACTGGAAGAGGAGCAACTGGGACTAGTACCCGGCACCCCGACCGGGACTAGAACCAGGGGTGCCCGCGCGCCGGGGCGCAGAGTATGCAGCTGATTGTCCCCACTCACCGAGACTGCCTGTCCCGGAGGGGCGGGGCTCTGACAACCGTGTGTGAAGGAGAGAATCTCACTGTGAGTCTTGGGTTCCTGATGGCAGCCACTTCTTCTTCTTCCCAGAATTTATGTATTTGAAAGGCAGAGCAAGAGAGACAGAGACCAAAAGAGAGAGCTTCACTTGCTGGGTTTTCCATGTGAGTGGTAAGGGACCAAGCACTTGGGGCAGCACCCACTGCTTTCTAAGGCGCGCAGCAGGGAGTTGGATCAAAAGCAGAGGCAGCCAGGACTGGCACTTGGTGCTTTCCATATAGGCGGCTGGGCACAGCAATTGGCATTCTTTGGTTTTTTTAAATATTTTATTT